TCAAGCATATCAAATCAGTTTGGTTGTGTAAACCCTATTTTTAATTGGAGATGTTTTCTTTTACTTTTGGACATATGTAGATTATCCTTAAAGCAGAGATGAATTTTAGTTCATATTAGTTTGACAGTTGCTTTTTGCACTTAGAAGCCATATGTTCCCTAAGGACCTGCTACTGCTTTAGGGAAAAAGAGGTTATTAATGGAAGAGGAAACAAGTCAAAATAAATGTTGTTTACTACAGACCCACTAACTCCTCTTCTTATTCTTTTAGTGATGCACACCTTTCCCTGTTTGTACTTTTACCTAATGCTACTGTTGAGATGACTGGACAATTAAAATATCTATTTTTTAACTTTATTATATTTTCAATCTACTGTTCTAGTAAATAGAATATAGAATACCTAACATAATATAGGAGGTACAGAACAGTAAATATTTGATTTTCTAACTGATATGTATTTCAAAATGGGAGATCATATTGGCTAAATACTACATATTGTTATTGTGAGATACATATACTAGAGCTAAATTTGTTCTTAATAGCAACTTCAAGTTGGGCATTCTACAAAAGGTAAAAGAAAAGTTTTAATCTTTTGCAAATAAAATCTATTATCTGTTACCAAGAAATATATGAAAGCAAGGGCCGGCCCGTGGCTTACTTGGGAGAGTGTGGTGCTGATAACACGAAGGCCACGGGTTCAGATCCCTATATAGGGATGGCCGGTTAGCTCACTTGGGAGAGCGTGGTACTGACAACACCAAGTCACCAAGTCAAGGGTTAAGATCTCCTTACTGGCCATCTTTAAAAAAAAAAGAAAAATATATGAAAGCAAAGAATAAAATAGTAATGATAAAACTCTAAGGTAATATTAGGTGGGATACATTCCAATATCATTTGAGAATTCATTAAAAATCAAATGTTTTTTCAATAAAGAGTAATAGTTGGAAGTGTTTAACTAGAAGTATGATGAACCTTCAGTTTGATGGTGTAGTCTTTTGAGCTTAATTACAGAGCTCTGGCAAGGCTCTTGAGTATCTTTTTTTTTTTTTTTAACTCTTATTTAGAAATAATTTCAAACTACAAAAAGTTACACAAGTAAAAGTAGTACCAAAAAAAAAAAAAAACCCAAAACAAAAAACCCTTATATACCTAAATTTACCTACCCCGACCCAGTCATTTGCTTTATTATTTAAATGAGCTTGCATATGTTCTCTCTTCTCCCCACCCCCTCCATACACACTTGTTTTTCTTGAAACATTTGAGGATAAGTTAAATATACATCATGACCCTTTACTCCTAAATACATCAGTGTATATTTCCTAATAGAGATATTCTCTTACATAATCATGGAACAGTTATCAACTTCATCAGTTTATATTGATACAATACTTTAATTTACTGTCTGTGTTGAAGTTTTTGTCAGTTGACCTAATAATGTCTTTTATAGCATCCTCTGCTCCCAGTACAACATCTAGTCTAGGTCAGGTATTGCATTTATTTGTCATGTTAGCTCTTTTAATCTGGACTTTTCCCACAGCCTTTCTTTGTCTTTTATGACATTGACATTTTTGAAGAATATAGTCTGTCCTCCATTTATTAGAAAAAAGTAGATAGATAGAAATTTTCTTATTTTGTGCCTGTCTGATGTTTCTCTGTGATTAGGTTCAGGTTGTACATTCTTGGCAGGAATAGTACACAGGTGATGTTTCCTCTTGCAGGATATCACATCTGTCACTCACTGATGGCAATTTTGATCAACCAGTCAAGCTATTGTCCAAGTTCTTCACTATATTATTACTGTCTTGTTTTGTTTTTTAATTTCTTGTAACCAATAGCAGTCTTTAGAGAGATATTTTAAGACCAAGCAGATATCCTGTTCCTCTCAAAATATTTACCTAGATTTAGCACCATTGCTGATTCTTGTCTGATTCAGTTTTTATTATGATGGTTACAAAATGCTAATTTTTCCGACTCCACACCTCACTTCTTCCCCAAATATTATTTATTTTCTCTACTTGTTTTTGGTTTGGACTCATGAATTCCTATTTTAAAAAATTCAGTACTTATTTTGGTGCTTAAATTGTTCCAGATTTGGCCAGTGGTATCCCTCATCCTTTTTGAGCACATTCTTACTTTTTGGAATAATAAGATGTTAAAGGCTCGGCTTCTACCTACCCTGCCCCAGCCTTGGAATCAGTCATTTCTCCAGCGAGCTTTGGCTCCTTTTGGTGGGGAATGGAATTAGATAACAAAATCTGGGCTCTGGGCTTGAGTGCACTACTTTAACAGCCACTGTATAAACACAATGTATAAGCGTTAGTTTACCAGGTAAATATTTCTTACAGACACGATAAATAATTTTTGAGAATATAATTCATTTCTCAGCTTATAGTTACAGAAAAAGTAAAGTACAGTATTACAGAATGGGAAGATTTTTGTCAGCAAACTTATACTGCCAAAGTTTTCTTGGATTTCAAAGCAAAATCATAATTGATGCTAAGCTGAAAGCCAGGTAGGAGTTTAGTGGACAGAGTTGGTCCAGGAGGGTAATTCAGGGAGAAGAAATGACACTGATGATGACATAACTAAACAGTAGCAGTAGCAGTAAATGTTGTATTTAAGTAACCATGCCTGATTTCCACCCATGTGTGAAAAAGTAAAAGACAGGGATGAAAAGGTTGTTTGAGGTCAAATTTAGAGGACTTTGAATGTCCTCTAAAGGATTTTGGGTCTTTAGGGTTTGGGGTCCTTAATAAGAAGATAATAGAGAACTGTTGAAAATTTTTGAATAATGTCCTAACAAGCTTAACTCTGACTCAGAGATTAATCTGGAAGATACATAAAGATTAGACTGAGGAAATTTCTAGTAAAGAAGTGTAAAGATGCTATTATAGTAGTTCTGGCAGGAGATAATAAGGATTTGAACTAGAAAATGAAAGAAAGAAGTGAATTAGAATAGTGGTTTTCAACCTATCTTTGAGAACCCCAGGGTTTAGGACAAAGGTGGGAGAAGGGGAGGGTCTATGAGTTGAGTACCAGGTTAGAATGCTCAGTGATTGTGTGGGAGTTGTATCCCTTTAAAAAAGCATTCTGCTCTTAAGGAACAAAAAAGTGCGTAGAGAAATTTTGTTTTTTAAAAAGTTAGGACTGATATTTGTTTGGAGTTTTGTTTTTTCTTTTTTAATTTGTACTTATTTCATATTCTGTTTTTCTAAAGTTTTGAGCCTGGATGACCAGGAAAATAGTTGTGTCAATAATTGAAATAGATAGAATTATATATTTTTTAAACCAAAGGACAATGTCACAAAGACATGTACTAAAATTGTTACTCAAGAAACAAGATGCTCTTGACTAAAAACCTTGGAATCATCCTGGACTCTTTTCTTTTGCTCATGCTATACAGGGAATCTACCATGAAATCCTGTTGGTTTACTTTCCAATTATATTCCAAACCTGACTACTTTCAACATCTCCACTGGATCAACTAATCTCTTGCTTTCAGCCTGTTCACTTTCCTTGTGATTCCTCAAACATGATGGGTACACTTCCACTTAAGGGCCTTTGCGAAGTCTGTTCCCCAGATATCAGCATGGTTAACTCTCTCATGTTTAGGACTTTGCCCAAATGTTACATTCTCAGTAGTCTGTTCTGAGCTTTATTGATAATCCCCTCCCCACCCTATGCATATTTTCCAGTCCTCCTTTATATTGTTCTATTTTTTCCCCTATGGCATCTATCACCTAACATACTATATGCTTTATACTATACCATATAATGACTCTATATTAGTTTAGTCTTAGGTTAATGATATTTTTCACTGATCAAAATTCTTTGAATGCATAAACCTGTTAAGACAAGTTAATGTGCTTTCTTTGAGTTTGGACCTGTTTGACTCTGTAATTCTGTCTAGTAGGTATTTACTTATTGTAGTGGATTGAATTATGTCTCCCCAAAACTCCTAATAGGGAAATCCTGTTATGGTAATTGAAAGGTGGAGCCTTAAAGAGGTGATTGGATTATAGGACTGTGCAGTAGTGAATGGATTAAAAATGGTGGTCAGGGCTGTGGTTCTGAGAACCTTAAAAGAAGAGGAGAGTCTGTCTTTCTCTCTCTCTTGCTCTCTCTGCTTCCACCATCTTGCAATGTGAGATCCCTGGGTCACTGTTGCCACCACCAGATGGACTTTGGACTTCCCAGCCTCAGAAACTGTAAGCAATAAATTTCATTTTCTTTATAAATTACCCAGTTCCAAGTATTTTGTTATAAGCAACAGACTAATACAGGAATACTATAAGGAAACGGACTAATACACTTATTTATTATGTTGTTTGTCTCCAACACCAGAGTTTAAGTTCCATAAGGGTAGTGATTTCTGTGTTTGTTTTGCTCACTAGTCTGTCCTAACCACCAGAATGTTCCTGGCAGATGAGTTAGGACCTCAGTAAACATTGTTAAAAGAAGGAAGGACAACTGAGAACATTAAACAAGTAAGCTTAGCTACCAGGCTTCTAGCTCATAGCAGATTTGAGAAAGCAAATAAGAGAAGAAATGGGACACTGTATGAATCAATATCTCCAAACCTGTGTTCCTTGGATCTAGGTCTATGACAATAATTGGCCTAGATGAAATAGGCCAGGAAAATGCTACATATATTATCCATTTACTAGAAAATTATATTGCACACTAACATGTTAATGGCTATAAGAACTGTAGTAAGAGAACTTACTTGATCACAAAACTCTCTTTTGGCAACTCACTATCATTATGGGACCTTCTTGGCCTGGGGCCAACAGGGTTTGTGAAAAAACGTACTCTGGAGTATTATGTTCAGGCCTTGGGAGTAATTGGTAGTTTTTAAAAATTACTTTTGGTTGATGGACTGTGCTGTTTCATGTGCTACTCAGAAGGAGGCTGGAGTACATCAGGCTCAAGTCTCCAGCTCTTATTGACTACTACTCTTTTAAAGTTTTGACCCTGTTAAAGGTTAGTTTCCTTTTTAGGTATTTGGGAATAAGATGATCATTCCTTCCCTGGATGGAGACCTCTTCCAGTGGGACCGAGACCGTGAGAGCATGGAAACAGTTCCTTTCACAGTTGAATCACTTCTTGAATCTTCTTATAAATTTGGAGATGATGTTGTTTTGGTTGGAGGAAAATCTCTCACTACATATGGACTCAGTGCATATAGTGGAAAGGTGAGTGAAAATGTTGAATTTATTTGGGGAAATCAGAATAAATTAGGATAGAAGAAATAATCTCTTAAACCTCAACTACTAATAATACAGTTTGTTATAATTTTCCCCTGAGGATATCATTTGTTTTAATAAGAGAACTGTGAAGTAGAAAGGGGAAACTAAACTTATCTAAGATCAGAATAAGCAGCAGAGCCAGGAACAGCAGGAGGAAGAGAATTAATAAATATGGTCTGCTGTGTGTCAGATGCTTTTTTGATACATTATTTTGAAATCTTCACAATATTCCTAAGGGTCACATGTTTTTATTCACATTTTGACAAATGAAGAATGCTCCAAAGATTAATAATCCTGGTGATAAGAATAATTGCCACTACTCATTTATCTAGTTTGATCCTATAAGATGGTCTAAGAGGAAAGTTTATACTCATTTCACAGATGAGAAAACTGAGACTTTATAAGTTTCAGAAACTTCCAAGGTCAGATTTGATTTAGATCTATCTGATGACACATTCATGTTGTTAACGGCCTAGACTTTCTCCAATACTAACTATTGGGATATAGTCATAATATCATGTACTTCTAAGATTGGTCTTATAATATAAATCCATTATTAAGAGTAACTAATTAAAAACATCCTTTTTTAAAAGGTAAAAAAATCTTTTTTTAACCCATTAACACCTTATATGTGAACATCATATATAGACTGAGACTAAAATAAGGAAGAATAGGAACATAATCTTTCTACCCTTGAGTTTTTCAAATTTTAATGCTTCCTTATCTAAGTAGTAGGCCCATAGCACCTTCTTGCTCTTGCAGATGCTTTTCTGCCTTCTCCACCCACCTGCATCTGCACTGTGTTGAGGAGGCCATGCCATCCTGTCTGGCCGTTTTTTGAGCAAGCACTTCAATCTCTGTTTACTTCAGTATTCTCACCTGTAAAACAACAGGATTGAACACAGTCATCTAGTTCTCTGATTTGATGTGCTGCTACAAAATTCTGGTATTTTAGCAGGTATGCTTCTTTTTGTGAGGATTTTAGTTTGGATCATTGAGTCTTCCTTTTTCTTTTAATGAAGATTTGAAGGAGGTACTTTTAAATATGAAAGCTATTAAAAATAGTTCAAATTTTTAAAAGCCAAATACTTTTGTTATGTGAAAACTCTGAGGATGATTTTTTTTTTTTAACTCACCTGGAATTTTACTAATGATATTGTTGCTAAGATATCACAACTGCTTATCTATTTTTTCTTGTATATCCCATGGAAATCCCCATATTAAGGCTGAAATTAAATCCTTAAAATCATTCCCTAAAATAAATATTCATTGGTACTTTCATGGTTCTAAAAAACTTATTTTAGGAATTAGTAATCTAACCGATGCTTCTTATTACTTGGGTATTTCTTACAGTATTTCCTTAATTTCCTTTACTTTCTAAAAATTTTAGAGATTCTTTTAATGTCTCTGATCTCCTTTGACTTGTGTCTTTTATTAATTTTATCTCTGTCTTTTCAGGTGAGGTATATCTGTTCAGCTTTGGGTTGTCGCCAATGGGACAGTGATGAAATGGAACAAGAAGAAGACATCCTGCTTCTGCAACGCACCCAGAAAACTGTTAGAGCTGTCGGACCTCGTAGTGGCAATGAGAAGTGTGTATTCACATAATGTTGTCATTGATGTTAGGTAGAAGTGCACCTAAGACCAAAATTCATCACATTTTTCTTTGTGGAGATTTTGCATACTATTTTGTTACCCTAAAAGCATACTACTTTCTCAAGAGAAATGTGAGCCCTGAATTTAAAAAGGCCTCATGGTTATTAACAAATCCTGGACTGAACTTCTCACCGTATGCTTCAGGATATGGTTACCAAAAGGAATACCATATAATGACTCTATATTAGTTTAGTCTTAGGTTAATGATATTTTTCACTGATCAAAATTCTTTGAATGCATAAACCTGTTAAGACAAGTTAATGTGCTTTCTTTGAGTTTGGACCTGTTTGACTGTAATTCTGTCTAGTAGGTAGTTTCATAGTTTGATTATCCCAATTTTAAAATAATAATCATTTTACTCTATTTTCTTAAAGTATTAAAATATTTATTTGGTCTAATACTTTGTTGTTCCTTCTTAAAATAATGGGCACCTTAGGTAATTTTTACCTTTAAATGTGTTATTAAAACATAAGATAAACTAGATTAGATATGCTGATCCTAAATTACCTGCTTGATTTTTTTTTTTTCTCTTGGCAGCTGGCCAGTGCAGGGATCATACCTTGGACTTTGTTGTTATCAGCACCACGTTCTAACCATCTGAGCTAACTGGCAGGCCCTTGTTAGATTTTTTTTAAACCTAGTATTTAAGTTTTAAATTGCCTGGGTAGTAAAAATAACTTTAGATCCCATCTTTATCTTTTGAAAGTGAACTAGACTTTCAGACTTTGTCTAATCTGATGCAATATAGTTCAGTTTCCTTTCCTGAAAACTGTTTTCTCAAACTCAGTTAAGAATATATTTATTCTTTCAGCTTTCGCTGAACTATGAATAGGGCTTTGCATCTGCTGACAACCTAACCTTCTCTGTCCTGATGGATTTTTTCCTCAAGTGTTTTGAGCACTCACTGAGACCTCAGCCAGCATAGGAGCAAAGTACAACTTAACAGAATTTTGAGTTACCAAAACAGGAAGGGTGTGGGGTTTTAAGATCCATGTTTCTTAAGTATTTATTTTTTTCAATAGTTGTCAGAATTCTTAGGCAGGCCCTTTTGTATGTAAGTGATAAGACATTATTCTGTCAACTGTTGTGATTCTTTTATTTACCAATTATAGAGGAAACATTATTACTACAGAACACTGAAAATTAGGAAAGGGTAAATGTCATGCCACATCTCAGTCAGTAGAGATCTGAGATTGGAGCTGAGGTAGTATGACCTTCAGGTCTGGTATATTGGATCAATCATATTGCCTCTTTAAAGCCAGGTTTTCATATGAAACTAAAATTGATGCATTCATCTTGCCTTTTATATTGATTTATTGGGATACGTTAATTTCTCTGCATTGAATAAAATGTGTCCAGCCTTTAATTAAGAGATAAGGCTGTTAAAATGCTACCTCATTTTAAAGTAACTTTGATGTGTTTTGAGAAAATCGCTCTGATTTAGAAATGTGAACAGCTGTTAATTTTTGAAAGAAAATCTGTGCCGTGGCTGTTGTCAGTCCACAGCTCTCAGAACTATTGTTTCTAAAAGCTCAGGACAAAGTTCTCATGGGCCCTCTTGTGGCGTAAATCAGCAGAGCTCTCCTTTCCAGTTTCCTTTCCAGAAAGAAAGTTTTGTTGATGTGTTCTTTTCTCATCACAAAATTTTAGTATTTGTTTCTTCATTCTAGAAGAGTTCTGTATTATTTTTTCCTTTTATTTAAATGTAAATTTCTAATCCATATCTTTGTAAATTTAAGGTGGAATTTCAGTGTTGGCCACTTTGAACTTCGATATATTCCAGACATGGAAACTAGAGCCGGATTTATTGAAAGCACCTTTAAACCCAGTGGGAACAAACAGTCTAAAATTATTTCAGGTGTGGAAGAACAGGAAGCTGCCATGATAGACACAGTGATAAAGGTCTCAGTTGCTGATTGGAAGGTTATGGCATTTAGTAAGAAAGGAGGACAACTGGAATGGGAATACCAGGTACCTAAAACTACTGATCATTTATAAACATGTTTCTTCCTCTTCCAGATTGACCAAACTTATTGGGTGGATGGAAATAAGGGCCAATGTGGATTCTCACTTGTTCTCTATGCTTTAAGAAATTCGTGATTTTTAAATGGTATTTTATAAGTTGAAACAACATAAATACTGCTTAAATTATTTAAAAAAATTTTTTTCCATTTTTGTTTAGTTTTGTACTCCAATTGCATCTGCCTGGTTGGTTAAGGATGGCAAAGTTATTCCCATCAGTCTTTTTGATGATACAAGTTATACATCTAACGATGAAGTTTTAGAAGATGAGGAAGACATTGTAGAAGCTGCCCGAGGAGCCACAGAGAGCAGTGTTTACCTGGGTGAGTAGATGTGTCTTATCTAGTGATAGTACACATTGACATCTAGATTATATTCTTACATTTTTCCTTCCTACTTCAGGAGTGCACATAGTAGTTTTAATCCCTAAATACATTCTCTGATTTAGGTTGCCCTTAAGATTTATAGTTCGATTTTCATGTCTGCTGTTTTTTCATTTGTCCAGTTCTAAACTTTTAATTTTTAAAGCATATTCTTTTTCTCTGAGACCTTTGTTAGGAAGGCTTAGAAATGTTCTCATTATATAGCTTGATTTAAAATTACTTACATATCCTCAAAGTCTACAACTTCTTATATTTGTATTTGTATTTGAATTTGTATTTGAATTTATATTTGCATCTATATCAATTTGCTCCCCCCTTAAAGATAAGCTTTTGTGAGTTTTTTCCCTATGCATTTATATAACTGATCTGAAAAAAAAACCAAAAATTCTGATGTGCTTCTGGGAAAATGAAAGTTGTTAGATAATGAAACTATAAGAAAGTTCTTGAATCTAATTATTTGAACTAGTTTGGATCATCAGACACTTATAAAATTCTATAGTCTCTATTAATGTGCTGCCCAACCCTCAATCTGAATGAAAAGCAAGAATTTGAAGGAATAACATGTCACACATGTGTTATGATAGTATTTGACTGAACTGTTAGCAATAGCTCAGTAATTATAGGTGTTTAGGTAAACTTTCTGTGAGAAGAAAGTTGCTTTATCTAAACTACTCACTTCATGAGAGTACAATGACTTCCTATCTTTGAATTTTTCTGTTGGACAGTTCTTCTGAAATTATACTGAAAATGTACTGTTATTCAGTGAGAGACACTGTGAGGACCTTGTGTGTAACTCCCACATAACCTTCTACCATTTTTGTTGAAAAACCATTGAATCAAATTTGAATGCTTCGGGCATGTTTCTTCTACGAAAAGAGCACATGAAGAAATAAATGGAATTAATCTAATTTTATTAAATCAATATGAACCTTTTTTTAAAAGGCATGCATAATTGACAATGTTCTGGTTGACTCAGGAATGTATAGAGGCCAGCTATATCTGCAGTCATCGGTCAGAATTTCAGAAAAGTTTCCTACGAGTCCTAAGGCCTTGGAATCTATCAATGAAAATGCAATTACTCCTTTGCCAACAATCAAATGGAAACCTTTAATTCGTAAGTGAATTATAAACTTCTTAGATACCGTTAAAGTATTCAGAGACCTAATCCTGACTTTGTCCTAGTTTTGAACATTGCAGAAATATGAAGTATTGTATACTTTATATTTTGCTGATAAACTGTGAAGGTATTTCAGATGTTCATAATGAATTTTAATTATTATTTAGAGCATTATTTCTTCAGAAGCAACAGTTACTTCTGAAGAAATAAGTGTTAATAAAATATTTCTGTTTACATCTTAGAAAAACTCTTAACCATTCACTGACCATGACAAAGTAACATTTAGCTCTTAATATATTAAGAATATTTAGGGGCCGGCCCGGTGGTGCACTGGAGAGTGCACCGCTTGGGAGTGCGGTGGCGCTCCCGCCGAGGGTTCGGATCCCACGTGGAGACTGGTTCCCGCTCACTGGATGAGCGCGGTGAGGGCGCAACACCGAGGGTTGCGATCCCGTTGCCGGTCCCTGGTACGGGCGCGACACCGAGGGTTGCGATCCCGTTACCGGTCAGTAAAAAAGACAAAAAGGAAAAAAAATAAAAATAAAAAAAAGAATATTTAGGTAAAATTATCTGGTTATCACATCATATTCTTTGAGACACGTAAATGAATTGATTTCAAGTACTGGGCCACTACTTTTTTAATTGTCTTTCCGTACCTTCGGTATGTTTTTTTTACTGCACATGTCACATCATATTTTAATTGCTTGTTTAACTCATCTTCTCTAGAAGACTGTGTGCTTTTCAAGAGAAAGAACTTCAGGCCATTGTTTGAACTACATGTTTGAACTGAGCTGTGGATGAATATCAGTCTATTCAATGAATGAGGACATGCATTTTCATCAAAGTTATAAAAGTTAAGATTTTATCATTTTCTTTTAGATTCTCCTTCCAGAACTCCTGTCTTGGTAGGGTCTGATGAATTTGACAAATGTCTTAGCAATGACAAATTTTCTCACGAAGAATACAGTAATGGCGCACTTTCAATCTTACAGTATCCGTATGGTAAGTGTGACTTCGCCTGGATTGAAAGTACTGAGTTTTAAAATTTTTATTTATTAATTTAAAATTAATTTTGAATTCAAATGAAGGGAAGTTGATTGGAGTATAGAAAATAAAATATCTTGGGCGATAATATTATGAATGGTGGCTAAGTGTACATGCTCCAAAGTCAGGTTGCAAGGTTTCAAATCCCAGTTTTGCCACATATTTGGTTGGGCACACCTGACTTCCCTGTGACTCTGTTTCCTTATCTGTAGAATGAGGATGGTAATTCTAATATCTATTCATCAAGTAGTTGTGAGGTCTAAATGAGATAATGCATGTAAAGTCTCAATTAGCACTGTGCGTGACACATAGTGTCAATAAACATTAGTTCTTGTTATCAGTTCTCATTTAATTATCAGCCTGTATGATATAAACTATATAATATCAGCCTGTATAATGAAGAAAACAGGTGTTTCATAGAGAGCTACGTGAAAGTGCTGAAAAGGGAGGTTATTTTAATTTTGTTCTCAAAGGATATTAGTGCAAAAGTCAAGAATTGTGTGATATTTGGCATGAAATACATTCCTGTGTGGTAAGTAGCAATTTTTAAAAGTTAGACTATATTCAGATGTGAAAGTCATTTCAACAGTTAGATATTTTAAAAGTCCTCAAATCTTTATCAGAAAAAAATGTAGATTCCTCATCAGTTACCCTAGATGCTAGAACTGCAAAATTATTATATATAAATCAATTAAAAAACAGAAGGCTCTAAAATAGAAACAGCAGCCTTTATCTGATATTGATCAAAAGGCAAGGAAAGAAAGAAAAAAGACAAGGTAAGGGAATTGTGTAGACTGCCCATACAATGTAAAACTAGAAGACAAAAAAAGAAAGGCTGTTTTCTGCAACAAACTCATTTTGACAGCCTGAAATGAACCAAAGAGCATGATGGGATATTTTCTTTTCAGCTTGTGAAGAATAATTAGTGATAAAAACTTTGGTATTTTATTGATACTAAGTGAAAGGAATGCTTAAAATATCTTGAAAAGGCCGGCCCGTGGCTCACTTGGTAGAGTGCGGTGCTGATAACACCAAGGCCACAGGTTCGGATCCTATATAGGGATGGCCGGTTTGCTCACTGGCTGAGCGTGGTGCTGACAACACCAAGCCAAGGGTTGAGATTCCCTTACCGGTCATCTTTTAAATAAAAATAAATAAATAAAAAATATCTTGAAAGAAGATAATTCTTGTATTTAAAGGATTTAATTATTAATAACATAATGAATGGGATAGTTAAGGTTTTTTTTGGTGCTGACAACACCAAGCCAAGGGTTGAGATTCCCTTACCGGTCATCTTTTAAATAAAAAAAAATAAATAAAAAATATCTTGAAAGAAGATAATTCTTGTATTTAAAGGATTTAATTATTAATAACATAATGAATGGGATAGTTAAGGTTTTTTTCCTTAGTCTTATAATTTAATATAAAGAAAATATAAGGTGCTTATGGAATAAAGGAAAATGTCTCTATTTAAGAAAAAAGAAAAAGGCAAATGAAGATGTTTGAAATGTGTGAAAGAACAGAAATGAAACGTTTAAAAAAGAAATTATCGCTATAAGTCATAGAAAAATAGATCATTTTTAACAATTAAAGATGGGCCTATTTTGGCTTATCTTAAAAAAACCTTTTAATGTTTCTTTTTGAAGATAATGGTTATTATCTACCATACTACAAGAGGGAAAGGAACAAACGGAGCACACAGATCACAGTCCGATTCCTTGACAACCCCAGTTACAACAAGAATATCCGCAAAAAAGATCCCGTTCTCCTCTTACACTGGTGGAAAGAAATAGTTGGAACGATTTTGTTTTGTATCATAGCAACAACTTTTATTGTGCGCAGACTTTTCCATCCTCATCCTCACAGAGTAAGACATTTTTTAGAATATGATGTATTTCAAAGTGTTTGAAATATAGAAAACTTTTTACGTGTTTGTTGGGGGGAGATTAAATGTTCTAAGTTTTACCATGAAATCATTGTTGCTATACTCTCATTTTCACTTCTCACCTCCCATTCACTCTCCGCAGTCCACTGCAATCCAGCTTCCACCCCTACCATTCCACTGAAGCTGCTCTTGCCAGTTTTCGGTGATCTTTTTGTTAAACATAATGGATGTTATCCAATTCTTATCTAACTGAACTTCTTCGTATTTGATGTAATTGAACATCTATTTTTGACTTTTCTTACCTGGCTCCCTTGACACCATGTTCTTCTGGTCTCCTTGGGCTTGATGTGGATGCATCAGGATGTCATTGTCCTTAGCCTCTCCCAGTAGCATCGGTCTCCTCAGGCTCACTCTTCTCTGTTCATCCCACAAACTCTGGTTGGATGGTCTCCCCTACTTTCCCAGCTCCAATCATCATATATACTAATGGTTCCCAAGTTCATTTCTGTGAACCAGCTTTCTCATAGGTGCTCCAGGGTACTCAAGTGAGTACTCATTTCCACCCCCATTCCCATCCCCAACCTGTTACTCTGGAATTTTTCTCTCTCAGTAAAATGTACTGCCATACTCAGTCACCTAGGCCAGATATTTCTTCTCTCCCTCATCAGTGACCAACATCTGTCAACTTCTTCTTCCTAAATATCTTTAAATCTGTTGTCTTCTCTACTTCCTAATTTCTGATTCCCTAGCACAAACACCATCATACCTCTCCCAGATCACTAAGATAGGCTTTAGTTGGTCTCCGTGCCCATGGTCCTCTCCCTGTCTTCAATCTGTTCTTCACCCCCTAACTCTCTAGCTGCATTTCCTGGCTTAAAACCTCCAATAGCTGACTCCCTATTGTTAGGCTAGAATCCAGCCTTCTCAGAACACGCAAGATTCTGAATGATTTGTACATTGCCTGCTCGTTACTCATTTTTCACCATTACCCTGATTCCTTCCTCTCTCCCCCAAGCTCAGCCACCATGCTGAACTTCTTTCAGTCCCTCCGCTTTATCATGCTCTCCCTAAGCCTGATGGAGCTCTACCTCCTCTGACCTTGCCTCTGAACCTTGTTCCCCACCTCTTTTCCCCTATGTCTCATGTGATTAACTCATTATCTCATAGTTTGAAATTAGTTGCCATGTCCTCTGTGAAGTCTTCCTTAACCTCCTGCTTCTGAGTTACATTCCCTGCATGTGCCTTAGAACATCCTGTATTCCCCTTACTAAAGTATTTACTAAAATATTTTATAGGTAAGTCCTAATTTCTTTCTCTGCCACCAGTCTATATATTCTTAAGGACAAGAACCACTCCTCATTGTTTACTGCCATTTCCCCAGCCCCTTATACAGTGCCTGGCACATAATTGGAGTTCAGTAGAGATTTGTTGAAAGAATAAATGACTAAGCAGATAAACCACAGTATCCCATTTGACTATAATAATTATTAACATTCTCTGGAAAATCATTTAGGAGATGCAGATGCAGAGACATTGAAAATGAGATGTTGCCAAATTCAATTTTCAATTGTTGGAAGCATTTTTAAAGTATCTACAAAATTGGTTGGGAAGGAAATAACTCTGGTCTTACCCAGAAGTTTACATCTGTACTTACATTTGTGCACTGTCATTTCTCTTCATATCTGCTTATGTATTGTACTGTACATATAACATGCCCACATTAAAAAGAAACAAAATCCTCTTAAAGAAAGGGGTGGCAATAGGAAGATAAACTTTTTTTTTTAATATAATAAAGGGATGCTGTATTTTGTGTTTATATAATGCTTTTATTTTTCTCAATACTATTTATTTTTCAATGTTATTTTATAACCTAAAATTGTTAACTAACTTCAGTTCAGCTTTGTACTGGTAGTGATTTTTTTTTTCACCTTATCAGCAAAGGAAGGAGTCTGAAACTCAGTGTCAAACTGAAAATAAATATGATTCTATAAATGGTGATGCTAATGACAATAGCTGGAATGACATAAAAAACTCTGGATATATATCACGGTAAGAGTCTTATGAAATATAGATGTGTGTTATAGCTTCTGATGGCACCATTTGAATCAAAGAATGACTTCTAAACTAGTATCTTGTTGAACTCTTTTAATTAATGTGTGAATATCTAGGTAAAGAAAGACTTAACTCTCAAGTAACCAAGTGTACCCTAAGGGGGATAAAAATAAAGTGTTACAAGAGTTTAGAATTTCAATCACCAAATTAAATTTTTACTTAGGAAAATTAGTTATTTAGTGTCTACATGTACTGGGATTGGCATTAATAATACCAAATGATAATTATTGTATTTACTAAAGTATAAGTCTCCATACGTTTTTTAATCTTCAGTTATTTCAGTTTTGTTCTGTCTGGAATAGAAAGTAGGAAGATGGGAGAGAAAACACCAATAGAACAGATAATTTTTAAAAGCAGAAGAGGGAGATGGGTTAGCTAACAGAAGGCAGTTCAAATAATTTAAAAGTAAAATAAAAGTAGACAAGCTGTCAGCAATCTCTCAGGTATAAAATATCACCTTTGATGCTTTCCAGCATAGGAAATGGTGTGATGGTTCACTTTTCATATTACATGGATTTTAGTTACTTTTCCTTTATTTTCATAGCATACTTCTTATCACTTTAGTGATATGGGGACAGGAAAAGACATGGAACTTTACAACTTAATATCTAGGAAAATGGTTTTATGACAGAAAAAACTGAAAATAATAGATTAATGTGTGGATTAGTTAGGGCTCTCCAGAGAAACAGAACCAACAGGAAATTAGATAGGAAGGAAGGAAGGGAGGGAGGGAGGAAGGAAGGAGGAAAGAAGGAGAGAGAGAGAGAGGAAGGAAGGAAAGGAGGGAGGGAGGGAGGAAGGAAGGAGGGAAGGAGTTACATACACACACACAGACACACATATAAAGAGGTTTATTATAAGGAATTGGCTTTAGAAATTTGGAGACTGAGAAGTCCCAAGATCTGCATTTGACAGGCTGGAGACCCCGGAGAGTTGATGGTATAGTTCCAGTCCAAGTCCAAAGGCCTGAGAACCAGGGAAGCCAATAGTGCAGATTCCAGTCTGAAAGCCAGTAGGCTCAAGATCCAAGAAGAGCTGATGTTTTAGTTCAAGTCTGAAGGCAGGAAAAGACCAATGTCCCAGCTCAAGGCAGTCACACAGGAGGAGTTTTCCTTACAAGGGGGAGGCTCAGCCTTTTTGTTCTATTCAGGCCTTCAACTGATTGGATGAGGGCCACCCACATAAGAGAAGGCAATCTGCTTTACTCAGTCTACTGATTCAAATGTTAATCTCATCCAGAAACACCCTCAAGGACACACTGTGAATAATTTTTAACTAAATGTCTGGACATTCTGTAGCCAAGTCAAGAAAGGGCTTTGTCAGCTTGGCACGCACATGCATCTCCCTTTGTCATATGTGTCTCCCTTGGCACCCATATGCATCTCCCCCATATGCATCTCCTTAAACCATACTTCAACTCCAGATAAAGACAATAAAAAGGTCATAGTTCTGCCTGACATGACATAATTATTCTGCATACAATTGAAAACCCACCAACCTATTTCCAAGAAGAGGAGATAAAGTCCTTGAGTAATGTTACTCTTCTTAATAGCCCATAGCTTGAATACTATGACATAAAATTAGTAATACTTAAATACTAGGGTATAAGGTCAATACATCTTATGAGTTACTAGGTGGCAGTCTTAACTTACAATTCAATGGGATCATTGTTCTGTCTCCTGGTAGGAGCATTTCTGCCTCTGGAACTAAGATCTGTAATCCAGTAGAGTATAAGGTTGTGGGATAGGAAGCAAAAATTTTGCTAGTGGGTTACTAGGGGTAATGGTGAGTGGTGCCACTCCATTTTTACCCCTTACTTCCTGGACCCATGAATCCTGGCTGTGGGAGAAACAGCACCATATAGTGAATGCTGATTTAGAGCATATATGAACACAGAACTGGAGAACTTTGCCTCAGCCCTGCAAGTGTTGCCACCTAGCTGGCATAGTAACCTGGTCTTCAAAGGGCCAGTCTACCACCCTGTCAACAAGACAGCTGCTTCAGGATGGTGGAGAAACAGGTAAAACCAGTGAATTTCATGAACAAAACAAAATTTACTAGGTGACTAACAAATGGTAAGGGCTACTTTAATATCCTTGCTAATGAAGATGGAAGCTAATGTGTTAGTGGCTGTCAATACCAGCAGGCAATGAGAGAGAAGGAAAGAAGGGATCCAACAACTTCCATGAGGAATTCAGTACTGAAGCCATTCATTGTTTACTCAACATTTACTCTGGACAGTTGTGTGCAGCACAGTATTTCAGGCTTCAGGAGAAATGAAAAGACTGGGCCTATCCAGGAGAAGCTTAAAATCTGGGGAAAGATAATATGAGGTAAAACATAAATAGTAAGAAAAAAAGTCACGAACTAAGTGACTAATTCTGGTTGTGATGATTCAGGAGGGATCATAAATGAGGTCGCATTTGAATTGAATCTTAAATTGTGAGAGTTAGTGAGGTAGAAACAGGGATGGAGGTATGGGTATCATGAATAAAAGACGCATTTGCAAGGCTGTTGTCAAGAGAATTAGAATACTGTACTCTAAAACTGAATTAGACTTAAATCAATTTTCTTTAACTTTATTCGATATGACAAGTAGGACTATTGTTTTTAATTTAGGATTTCTATAATAATAGTAATTATAATACCTAATGTTTATTGGTGCCTACTTTCTCCTAGGCACTATTAAGAGCATGAACTCTGGATTCAGTCATGAACTCAAAACATACTGTACTCTAAAACTGAATTAGACTTAAATCAATTTTCTTTGACTTTATTCGATATGACAAGTAGGACTATTGTTTTTAATTTAGGATTTCTATAATAATAGTAATTATAATACCTAATGTTTATTGGTGCCTACTTTCTCCTAGGCACTATTAAGAGCATGAACTCTGGATTCAGTCATGAACTCAAAACCTAGCTTTGTCTTTTATCAGTTGGGACCTTAGACAAGATGATACTTATATTTATAGGGTCTGTAATCATATATAAGATGTTACTCTTTCTAGAAGATATATTCACTTTTATATGCGTTTTTCTTAATAAAGAAAGATAATTCAATTGACCCTCCAGGAGGAGGACATGAACTTTGTGGGCTTTTGCGTTTGGGGAGATAGATTTGTACTGAGGTACGCTGACTAGCTATTTTTAGGAATACAGATTATTACTCTTCGTTCTCTGTGAAGGTAATTGGCCCATGGAGGTTTGGAATCTCTTCTCTTCTTTAACTCCATGCTCTAACCAGCTGAGGCAACTACTAAATTAATATGAGTGTGCAGTCATAAAGTAATAAACTTTCCCTTGTAAGAGACACCAAAGATCATCTGATTTAACTCACCCCATAAGGCTGAAATAATTTCTACAACAAGCATGCATGCATTTATTCAACAGATATTTGTTAATACCCAGGTTCTGGAAATACAAAGAGAAACAAAAATGCTTTTCTGCATTCATAGCCCCCACAACACAGTGGCCATGGGACAAGCAAGGTGCATACAAATAACTAAAATATTGAGATTGTCTAAATAGTTCCAAGTACTATGAGCAGAGTGCTATGAGAACATTAAGACTGGGTCTAGGAAAGCTTTACAGAGGTGGTGAGATGAGCAGAATGAAGAAGGACTAGGGTTTCATTAAGTGCAAAGAAGAAAGCCACCACAGTCGAGCAAAAAACAGAAGCAAAAGCCCTGAAGTTATGAGACAGCATAGTGAAAACTTATTGGAATGGACAGTGCAGGTCAGTGAGGTCAGGCACTAACGGGAGAAACAGGCTGCAGTGTGGAAGTCCAAGTGTAAGTGGCAGTTGGTGGGTAGCTTCTGTCTGAATAGCTTCAGTGATGGACATGATGACTAGGGAGTCAATCCAGCTGATGTCAGCTTTCTGGAAAAGCTAGCAAGATTTCTGGCTAAAAAAAGTTAAATAATTGTAGGATTGATTAATTTTCTTGCACAGAATCTATAGGCGATGACATAAGATTAAAATACATTTTTTAGTTGAGTACAAAATGCCATAGAAAGTTAAAGTATAGAGAATTAAGAATAAGATATTTTGGTAGATGATGGAAAGTACCGAATAGGACAAATCAGTAATGTAATTGCTGTAAGAACAAGTAATTAACAAGCAATTCCAAATTAAAAGTTTCTTTTTTTCCCCCTAGGAAATTTGTAAGAATGTGTTTGCTTCATTTATAAAAACAGAAAAACTAAGAATGCTATTGGTAGAATTCAAACTATATTAAAATAAGTTCTATGAGTTGACTGAGTTATGTATCATAAGATTGAACTGATTTTTAGGGCCAGCCCATGGCTCACTTGGGAGAGCGTGGTGCTGACAACACCAAGTCAAGGGTTACGATCCCCTTACTGGTCGTCTTTTATTTTAAAAAAAAAAAAAAAAATAGATTGAACTGATTTTTAACTTACCACAAAATTTAAAACTATTGCAAACTTTTTAAAAATTTACTTTTTTTTAAAGGTATTTAACAGATTTTGAACCAGTTCAATGCATGGGTCGTGGTGGCTTTGGAGTTGTCTTTGAAGCTAAAAACAAAGTAGATGATTGCAATTATGCTATCAAGAGGATCCGTCTCCCCAATAGGTAACTGATGATACTTTTAGTAAACTTGGAATCAGCACTACTGTATCTTACCTATTTTCTGAACTTCTGATTCTTAAGTTCTAAGTGCTTCCAGGTAATCAGCTGTCTAAATGTTGTGATCTATATAGATTGCTTTGTATATACTTAAAAAACATGCCCTTGTTTTTGATTCTTAACAACTCAGGAGTTTTCCATAGTTACATATAATAATTATAGACTTTAATAAATCACAGCATTTAAAAAAATCTGTACTTATTGTAGTAAATAAGGAAAAGTATTAAAATAAAAACCATTTGTATTATATTCTGTCTACCCAGTAATAACCACTCTTAACACTTTAAAGTATTTTCTTTTGATTTGTATTTCTAGTCATAAATTTACCTAATTGGTAGCACGGTTACCAATACTGTTCAATTTTTTCTGTTGCTTCCTTCATCGTATTCTCAGTATTTTCCATGTTATTAAGAGTATTTTACTAAAATATTAAAACATCTGAGTCACTTCACTGCAGGCCTGCCTAGTGGCCCCACCCACCACACACAAAGCAGCTAGATGGTTCCCCTCACTACAGCCCCACCTACTGGCTTCCATTGCTTCCTGAGAAGCAGCTCAGGAGCTCTGCCCTTGGCAGTTCAGCTCCTGAACAGCAAAGGAAAGCACAACCTCGTGGCCACCACCATCACTACTGCCAAGCCCCAGAGTACTGTTGCTATCACTGCCCCTCTCCCTGCACAGCAGTCCATCCCTCTCCCTGCCAATGCCCAGTCCTGGTGCTACCAGCTCCACCACACCCAGATTCAGGTGTTTCTACATTTTTACCAGGCAGTGGGGGAAAGAAAGGAGGGAGAAGCAAGGACCCGGGAGAAGCAAGGACCCAGGAGAAGCCTCTGCCTGAAGGAAAGAGGAAAGAGAAACCCCACCCAGAGTCATCCACTCTAGCTAAGGAGCTTCAGTGCACCTATTAAGGTCATGGGACACTAGCCGGGGTGAAAGCAGGATTGCCCAGGATCACCAACCTCATCCAAGGAGAGACAGGGTACCCAGGCACTTCTACCAAGAACTCAGGATCTCACCCATAACTTCAATAACCCAACACAGTGTCATTCACTTCAAAAAGGAACCACTGAGTGCCCCAGTGCCTAGGCCACAGAGGCACTCACAGACAACTCCAGTTGAAGTAACCACATGGAGTCTACACTACTGCATCTACCCAGGATCAAAACTAAAACACCGTACCCAACGATCGATATAAAACACATCTGCATGAAGGAGTCTTTCCTCAAGTTACTCCAGAGTAACAGAAGAAGCAACTGCTCCACCAGATTCCCCACACTTCAACATAGGGACTCTAGAAATACAAAAAAAAAAAAAAAAGAAGAAGAAAAAGAAAAGGTGATACCCTCAAAGGAATACAGTAATTCTCTATTACCAGATCCCAAACAGCAGGAAACCTTTGAAATGTCTGAAAAGGAATTCATGGCAACAACATTAAGGAAACTCAGTGAGGTACAAGAAGATTCACACAACACAATGAAAAGAGAAGAACAATCCAGGATCTGAAAGAGGAATCCTAAAAGAGATAGATACCCTAAAAAAGAATGTAGCAGAAATCCTGGAACTGAAGGATTCATTCAATGAAGAAAAATAAAACCAAGAGCTTAAGCAACAAGCTAGAGAAAGTGGAAGAAAGAATTTCTGATCTTGAAGACAGTCTTTTTGAAAGAACTCAGGCAAACAAAAAAAAAGAAAAAAGAATTTTAAAAAACGGAGAAAATCTACAAGAGATATCAAACAACCTTAAGAATACAAACACCCAACTATGGGTGTTCCAGAATAGGAGGAGAATGGAAAAGGCATTGAAAACCTATTCAACTAAATAACAGAAAACTTGCCAGGTACCAGAGACACAGACCTCCAGCTCCAAAAGGCTCAAAGGGGCAGAGGCAGGTCCTGCTCTGCTTGGTAGTGGTGGCTGGCCGGGGTCTCCAAGGTCAGGGGAGGAGGTATGGTGGCTCAGCCTGCGCAGGGCTGAGCTGCATGGACAGGCGGTGAGCAGGGCACTATCATGGAGTGGCGATGGCCACAGCTCCTGCTTACATCTCCCTGGCAGCCTCTGCTCCTCAGTGCCAGCCACTTGGCAGGAACAGTGGGCTGGGTGACTGCAGCCCTGGACTCAGCACAGTGGCTCTCAGGGAAGGAGGAGACCATCATCCTGCATGATAGGTTGACCCAGGTCATGACCTGGCTGAGCTACCCAGCAAGATTCTCAGAGCCACGGAGGCCATGACCCCAACCTGGACAAACCTCTCCTGAACCAAACTGAAGAAGAAATTTATAAAGCTCTAAACAGAAAAATGGGTTAGCAGAATACTTTAGAACAAGACTTTATTTGGCTCTCCCAGTTTCAACAACAGTGTAATAATACTCTTATACATTGTTCAACTGGAGAATGGGAATGGTTTTCACATAGTATTGAAAAGTAATGGACAATTTTATCACCCACTGTTTTCTACAGAGCTGTTACACATAGGGCAAATCTGCTCTTACATAGGGCTCAATGATTCTTCAAAGAAAAGGAAATAGAAATGAATCCTGGATACTTTCCCCTGCAAGTGCAGCATCTGGTTGTTTAAAAACACATCTTGCATAAAATTTTAAAATATTTAAATAAAAGTAAAATTTTTTAAAAAAGGTTCAATAGTCCCCAAACAGATTCAGTCTAAAAAGATCCTTTCTGAGACACACTGTAGTCAAATTGTCAAAAGTCAAAGAAAAAGAATCCTAAAACAAGAATGAGAAAAGCATCAAGTCACCTATAAAGGAGTCCCCATCAGACTAACAGCAGATTTCTCAGCAGAAAACTTACAGTCTAGAAGAGAATGGGATAACATATTCAAAGTGCTAAAAGAACAAAACTGCCAGCCAAGAATACAATACCCACCAAAGCTATCCTAGTGTATTTCCCACACAAATAAAAACTGGGGGAGTTCACCACCACATGACTGGCCTTACAAGAAATCCTCAACATCTGGAATCCAGAAAACGATAGTTACCACCATGAATACACAAGAAAGAATAAAACCCACTAATAGAGCAAATATGCAAATGAGAAAGAGAAACTGTATCTTCCCACTACAAACAAAACAAAACAAAACAAAACACTGAAGACAAACAATAAAAGGGAAAGGAACAAAAGACATATAAAACAACCATAAGGAGGAAAAAAAAAATAATAAAATCCCAGGAGTAAGGCAATATGCAATACCTCTCAATAATAACCCTAAATGGATTGAATTCCTCACTCAGAAGACATAGACTGCCTGAATGGATTAAAAAACTAGACCCAATTATGTTCTGCCTACAAGAAACTCACCTCACCTGGAAAGATTCACACAGACTAAAAGCAAAGGGATGAAAAAAGATATAGCATGCAAATAGAAATCAAGAACAAGCAGGAATGGCTGTTCTTATATTAAATAAAATAGACTTTAAGCCAAAAACTATAAAAAGAGACAAAGAAGGTTATCACATAATGATAAAGGGATGTATCCAGCAAGAGGATATAACAGTCGTAAATATATGTACACCAAACATCAGAGCACCCAGATGCATAAAGCAAAAACTACTAGACCTAAACAGAGAGATAGACCCCAATATAGTAATAGTTGGGGACCTCAGCACCCCTATCTCAACACTGGACAGATCATCTGGGCAACAAAGAAACATAGGATTGAAGCTAACTTTAGACCAATTGGACTTAGCAGACACCTCTAGAATAGTTCATCCAGCAACTATGGAATATACATTCTGCTCATGAGCATATGGAACATTCTCCAGGATAGACTACATTAGGTCACAAATCAAGTCTCAACAAATTTTAAAAAACCAAAATCATTTCAAGTATCTTTTCAGACCACAACAAATTAAAACTAGAAATTAGTAACAAATGAAACTTTAGAAACTACTAAAATATGTAGAATTAAACAACATGCTCTTCAATGGCCTATGGGTCAAAGAAGAAATTAAACAGAAAATCAAAAACTTTCTTGAAACTAATGAAAATAAAGACACATCATACCAATACCTATGAGATACTGCAAAATCAGTACAAAGACAGAAGTTTATTGCAATAAATGCTTACATCAAAAGAACAGAAAGACTTCAAATAGTCAACCTAGCATTATACTTCAAAGAACTAGAAGAACAAGAATGACCCAACCACAAAATAAACAAATGGAAAGAAACAATTAAGATCAGAGCAGAACTAAATGAAATAGAGACCAGAAAAAGATACAGAGATCAGTGACTCAAAAAGTTTGCTTTTTGAGAAGATAAACAAAATAGATAACCATCAGCCCAACTAACTAAAAAAAAGAAGAGAGAAGACCCAAATAACAAAAATCAGAAATGAAAAAGGAGACATTATGACTGATACCACAGAAATACAAAGAAACATTAGAGACTGTTATGAACAACTATACAGAAACAAATTTAAAACCTGGAAAAAAGGAATAAATTTCAGGACATATACAATCTGCCAAGACTGAACCAAGAAGAAATAGAAAAACTGAGCAGACCAGTAACAAACGATGAGATTGAAGCAGTAATCAGCTGTTTCCCAACAAAGAAAGGCACAGGACCAGATGGCTTCACTGCTGAATTCTACCACACCTTTAAAGAAGGATTAATACCAAATCCTTTTCAAGCTATTCCAAAAAATTAAAACAGAGGCCATTCTCCCAAACTCATTTTTTCAGGCCAGCATTACCCTGATACCAAAATCAGACAAAGACACAACAAAAAAAGAAAACTGCAGGCCAATATCCTTGATGAATATAGATGCAAAAATCCTCAACAGAATATTGGCAAACAGAATACAACAGCACATCAAAAAGATTATACACCATGATCAAGTAGGATTCATCCCAGGGGTGCAGGGATGGTTCAGCATATGCAAATCAATAAGTGTGATATACCACATCAACAAAATCAAGATGAAAAATCAAATGATTATCTCAATAGACACAGAAAAAGCATTTTACAAAATTCGACATCCCTTCATGATAAAGACTCTCAGCAAATTAGGTATAGAAGGAAAGTATTCCAACACAATAAAAGCCACATTCAACAAATCCACTGCCAACATCATCCTGAATGGGGAAAAGACAAAAGCTTTTCCTTTAAGAACAAGACAAGGATGCCCACTCTCACCACTCCTATCTAAAATAGTATTAGAAGTGTTAGCAAGAGCAATCAGGCAAGAGAAAGAAATAAAGGACATCCAAATTGGAAAAAACAAAGTCAAACTGTCCCTGTTTGCAGATGACATGATCATATACATAGGTAAGCCTAAAGACGCTACCAAAAACTCTTAGAGCTAATAAACAAATTCAGTATAGTTGCAGGATACAAAATCAATGTACAAAAATCAGTAGTGTTTTTATACTCCAGTAACAAACTAGAAGAGAAAGAAATCAAGAAAGCAAGCCCATTTACAGTAGTTGCCAAAAAAATAAAATACCTAGGAGTAAATTTAACCAAGGAGGTGAAAGATCTCTATAATGAGAACTACACATCACTGCTGAAAGAAAATAAAGAGGACACAAAGAGATGGAAAGACAGTCCATGCTCTTGGACTGGAAGAATTAACGTGAAAATGTCCATACTACCCAAAGTGATCTACAGATTCAATGTGATCCCCATCCAAATGCCAACAACATTCTTCACAGAAATACAAAAAAAAAAAAAAAATCCTAACTTTCATATGGAACAGCAAAAGTCCCCGAATAGTCAAAGTAATCCTGAGGAAAAAAATAAAGCCAGAGGCACAACACTACCCAACTTCAAATTATATTACAAAGCTATGGTAACCAAAACAGTATAGTACTGGCATAAAAACGGACACACAGACCAATGAAACAGAATAGAGAATCCAGAAATCAATTCATGTACTTACAACCAACTGATCTTTGGCCATGTTACCAGGAGCATATATTGGAGAAAGGACAGCCTCTTCAGTAAATGGTGCTGGGAAACTGGATATTCATGTGTAGAATAATGAAACTATTCCTGTATCTCTTGCCCTATACCAAAATCAACTCAAAATGGACTAAAGACTGAAACATAAAACCTGAACCTATAAAATTCATGGGAGAAAATGTAGGGGAAACACTTTAGGATGGAGGATTGGGCAAAGACTTTATGAGTAAGACCCCAAAAACACAGGCAACAAAAGAAAAAATAAACAAATAGGATAATATCAAACCAAAAAGCTGTTGCACAGCAAAGGAAACAATCAAAAGAGTGAAAAGGTAATCTACAGAATTGGAGAACCTATTTATGAACTATACATCCAACAAGGGGCTAATATGCAGAATATAAAGGAACTCAAACAACAGTAAAAATAATAATTCAATTAAAAAATGGGCAAAGGAGCTGAATAACTATTTCTCAAAGAAAGACATACAAATGGCCAACAGGTGTATAAAAAAATGCTCAGCATCACTAATCACCAAGGAAATGCAAATCAAAACCACATTTAGATATCATCTCACCCCAGTTAGACTGGCTGTTATCAGAAAGACAGAGAATAACAGGCCGGCCCGGTGGCGCACTGCTACAGTGCGCCGCTTGGGAAGCGCGGCGGCGCTCCCGCCGAGGGTTCAGATCCCACGTGCAGACCGGCGGCTCACTGGCTGAGCGAGGAGCAGGGGCAACACCCAGGGTTGCGATCCCATTGCCGGTCCCGGTTCGGTTCGGGCGCCTCGTT